ATCAAACTCCGGGCAACATTATTTCTCATAGCTGGATGTGTTTCTGCGCTCGAGGCGCCAATTTTCATCCTTCCATAGTTCTGTTAGTCCAAAGCTCTGCCCATAATAACCTCTCAAAGGATCCGTTTCCTTTCCTCAGTTCTTCCAACAGCAGTTTCCCTTGGCCTTCGGTTCCAAACAATACGAGTGTGACGATAGCATCGCACAACACCGCATAACTGTATTACAAATCCATCGCTCTCTCAGAAATAAATGTCTCCAACGTTAGACCGCCAACGCCTCGTCATCTATCATCGTAAATGATAGCAAGGTCTTAAGTAACCCAGATCACTTACTTCTCAAAATTTGTTACTCTTAATTTCTACCACGCGATCTACCACGCGATATGACGGTCTTATTTCCAAACGCACTCAAATTGGGCTTCTGTTCATAGTACCCTCCGAGAAGCCTTTACCCTTTCCGAGCCCTTCATCTTTGCTCCCAATTCCGGGCAAGCCTTTTTCCTTTCCCATCGAGACAATTCTTGTGGTGACGGGGTTTGAACTCACACTCTCTCCTAACTAGGACCTGGCAGTCCTCATAATAATACGGACAGAATCCCTTGGTGCCCGATTCGGGTCCCCGCTTCCACGATAGAGAGCTCAAACTACTCCCCGCGATGACTCTGGCGTAGGTCTCAGAGTCCTGAATTTCACTGAGGCAAATGACGATGGCTCTGTTATATGCCACTTTCCGCTCTCTCGCGACAGAGCGCGCTCGATTAACCAGGTTTTTCCTTAGCTCTATGTCGAATGATATAAAGGCACGGTCGTTAGTGGCATTAGCTAGCTTGCTGGCCGGCTCACGTAATTGAATCCTGCTAGTAAGGCTTCTGAGTCTACTGCGGTGGCTAACGCACATAACCAGGGTATCAACGCGCTCGATAACTCCACCACATTGTGAGGCGTTCGGGACTCTATCAGCTTCTTATTTGCCACCATTTTTCCTTCCGTTGTCTCTCGCCAACCTGGAACATCTAGAACGGTTCCTTAAGTGATTTTTAATTCACGATAAGTTGGGGGGTGCTACACCATGGCTCTAATACGCTGTTCTCCAATCCTCATTCTGTCTGGAGGCTCACCTCCTAGGCGCTCATAAGCCATTCCATGAAATTCTGTCAGGAGCAGCAGCTGCCCCGCAGCTCATAAGCCATACTCAGTATAATGATGATGTGTTACATCCCACCTCCTATACCGGTGACTCACATTTCCATTCAGCAACAAATAGACTAGGCGAGTTCTTACGATGTGAATAACCGCCAAGCAAATACGAGCGGAATATAAACCAACTCCACTACTCAACGACATATAAACTTTTTCAAATCGCTATGCTAGATGGTAAGCGAAGTCAGACTCACGCTGCAACCCAATATTTCGAGCCAGGCAAGTCAACGTTCACTTCCCGCGAAACACACGATTTTAGCTATTAGGATACTATCCATCCTCCTTGCTATGCTATATGTCGGATGTATTATGTCCAAGTCATCCGCGCAACGTGGATCTATAGTATAGATTCTATACAGGTCGTGTGGAACACGATGTCACTCAGCCCCGATTGGGGACATCCAATTTTCTTATAACATTGATATCCAGCTTCAACGAGCTTCAACCAGCTCTCAAACTATTGCATCTAACCTTGTCACTGGTAAGTTATCAGCGAGGAATTCTCACATTATCACCCTCCGTTATCCCCATTCTCATGAAATTGAGTCAGGCGAGTCAACATCCGCGCATCAGAACATCTCAAGAAGAGGTTGTACATCATATTTCGTATCACGTGCCGATGATTTAAAACCTTGTATCAGTTCAACGAATGCTTGTGGAACCCATTGACAGAGCAAATAGAGCTCATTTGCAATGCGACGTCACTACCCGAGGTTCAATCCACTAAAAGCAATACAGAAATACTATACTCACTCTATTAGATGGTAAGTAAAGGCAGGCTCACGCTGCAGCTCGATAAGTTCGAACCAGGCAAGTCCGCGTTCACTCTCGAGTCGAGAAGCCTAACAAGGCAAGTCAACATTCACGCGCCCGAACCTCGTATAGTATATTATATTTCGTACTACGCATACGTGATATATTTCATACCACGTACCGATGATCACAAATCATATTACAGTTCAAAAATATTTCAGGGACTCACTGACGAGACGAAATTGACCTCCCCTGCAATGCGAAACTTAGTTACCAGTACTAACCGAGATCCAAAGATTGACATTCAACCACCACATCAGTCAGGGGTTGAGTTTCAACGATTGAAATTTAACTCACTCAAAGAAATAAAGCATTTTAGAGTCGTTAGGCTAGAGCATGGTACGTGGAGTCGGACTCACACTGCAACCCGATACAACAAGCCAGGCAAGTCAACTTTCACTACTAGTTCACCCACAATCATTGTGGGATTGTGTCATTATGGCATCCAGCCTTCCCACCATGGCATCCAGCCCT